TTCGTTCCCGACAAAAGCGATCGTACGTAGCAGAAAACATTCTTATCGCGGTATAAATAAAATGCAACGGGGAATTCTATTGTGCTCGCTTCTAATTGAAAATTGCGGAATACCGGTAGAATCGATTTAGGATTTTATTAGTTTCATTCGCAATCGCGGGATATTAAAACCCCAGGTGGTATCGCCAGTATCTGAGAAACGATTAAACGTGTTTACATAGCAATTCTTGTAAGTGCATCATGCCAGTCCACCGTGATCAAGCATTTTTCACTTCGCAGGGAAACACGGGATCCGTTAATTTCGAAACTGCCCCGTTAATTTCGCGAACGTTTTGTCTTCTTCCACTTCCTCGAATTCTCCGCCGTTGTGTCTGGTATCGTCGAAATTTTCTCGTCAGACGAATCCATCTATCAACGCAGCAGACTAGACGAATTAGATACAGATTTCTCTGCGATTCTATTATTATAAGAAACAAAGCCGTAAAGGCGGTTGACCAGGTCCTCCTTGACTCGCAAAAGATCGACTCGTGCTCCCGGTTTCAATTCTTCCGGCCACTTTAGCCCCGCCGCGGACGTAACGAAGCCAGGTCACCGTCGAGCGGGTTATGAATTTATGCTAAGCACACTTACATACTTATTAAGTTAATAACAAAGTTCGTGGGTGAGGGGGCAAGAGAATGTTTGCATATTCCGTGGCTCGGGCGAGGGCGCGCGACCGCCTCTCGTAGCTCGCGTTCGGAATACATCAAATTAACCGGAGAGCCCCGTTGTACAGTGGTTTTCGCGAGTAATGAGCAAACTTTTCGGAATTATCCGCGGGCCGGGCGCGAAAATTTTCGAATCGGCGGGAACTTCGGGGCCAGTTGTACCAGTCACGCGCTCGCGAGTGGTTTTTCCGGTAGTCGCGGATCGCGCGGTCGCGAAATAATTTCGTTCGGGATCGCGTCCACCCTGTCCGTTTCGGATTACATTGTTCCGAACTCCGGTCTTCGCGGGACATTTTTAACGCGGGGCACGTTGCAATTTAAATTATCAGCAACGGAGAAATTAATCGCGTCGGAGCTCGGTTCTAAAAAAAAAAAAACAAATATTTCGGGGCGTTGCGTTCGACGCTTTAAACGAGTCCTGGAACGCGAGTTATAAATGGATAAGCTGGAATGAATAATTGTCGGGAAATGTTGAGGTTTTCTGACCCGTCTGATCGATAAGTCGCTCCCTTTTTGCCGTTGCTCGCAAGAACGCAACATTCTAATGGATCTCGGGTCCGTTTCTCCGTTTTCTCGGCGAAACTAATTCTTTCCCGTAAGAATCGGTGCCCGCCTTCTCCGGTTCTTTCCCCGACGCGAGAATTCCCCTTTAAATTTTTAGTTTCTTGGGCAGCTGGCATCTTCGTTTGTTCTTTTCGTCCCGATACAAATTAGCCATTGTTGCACGCTAGCACCGTAAATTGCACGGCGAATTTTCGAGTTCGAAGGAGGTCGGTTCTATAAAATTCCACGATAGCGAAATTATTGTCCTCCTGTGAGCGCAAATCGATAGAACGCGTTCTACGGAGTCGGGGATAGCCGTCGATGAACTTCCAGACTATCCATCTTCGCTTTATGACAAAACATTAATCAGAGTCGACGCGATACAGTTTGATGGTGGTGCTATCACATTAATAGATCCCGTAAGACATACGTTCGGAATACAAGAATGGGCTCTGGAATTATGGGAGCTCCTTCACTCTCAAATTCTTCAGAGAAACACTTAACAATATTTTATTTCATCGCCTTATGAATTTTTCAAATTTCCAGCTAAATTCGGGCTGGACATAATTCTACAGATAAAATTAAGTAGAAAACGTGGAATAGAGTTTGTTCGTACTGTGCTTCGTTTTCGAGAAAATTGAATTTTAACTTTTACCAATCGCGTCCGACCAATATCGACTATTTCTACTTGCTTTGATATCAAAGTCGCGCTCTATCGTATTTTTATCGCTTCTCAAATTTTTAAAACGTGATTTAGATATCACAGTGTTTGATGCTTCGACGTCCATCGTGAAATTTTTGTAAATGAGATCGATTTCTCCGTGTCGCAGTGGAATTGATCGAGACATAGTCAGCCATGCAACACTCGAGTCGCGAGCAGAACCGGCCGGATCTCGCTGGCAAGCTTCATTACGCGCAAACGCGCGGAACCAGTTAGTCAAACCTCGGTGTAAACGTCAGATCCACACCATCTTGAGCCACTTCCGGCTTCAATGCATCTCGAGGGCGAATCCACGGTGCACCGCGACGCCCGTTTCGCGGATCTGCGCGCGACAGGCGGCTCGTCGTTTCGCTTTCGTTCTCCTCGCGGGGGAAGCGTTTTGCGTTCATTGACGATTAAAAGCCGCGTTACGAGTATCTTCTTTCCGGGTCGTGAGGGGGGAGGTACTCGGGTGACAACGCGACACGCTCGCCCCGGTAATCCAACGCGGAGTATTAAATTCCCTCGACGAGCCTCCCTCGTCCCCGACGAATCGATGCATCGTCGGAACTCGAACCGCGCGGACGGATCGAATTCGTCGGCGATTTCGTCAGAGAAACGGGTCGCGGGGCGACTGATAACCAGGCCGCGATGAAACTGACTGACGTGTCCTTGTATCGTCCGCCTCTGGACGCAGAAACTCACAGAAAATCGCTTTGGTTTATTCGTAACTCCAGATCTGGTGAGATCTGATCTTCGTGAGTTGTCTTGTTAATTATATTGGATTCGTCTCGTCGAGTTTGGCGAATTTGGTGAATAAATTGTCAGAAATTGTGGTGACGGGAACGAAGCCAATGGTGATATTCGCCATCCGAAAAATGGTCTGCTTTAATTATAACCGCTTCATCATTGACGTTAATAAATACGCAGTCCTTTTGCTGCAATATTCATTAACTCGTTATTACTATATCCGGAGCGCCTCGTAGCGGTCGTGGTTCCCTAGTCGATCTATTTCGGGCATCGTTAATGACGGGAATATCTGCTAATGAATTCTTGATGAAACGAATGGGTCGATTACGATACCATTGATCAAGGAATAAGTAGTTTCGTCGAAGCGATAATTTTGCTAAAGATATCTTTCCTAACTCGAATATTGTAGTTTTCTTCGAAACGAAATATAATAATATCATTTTTAAGTGATTTCCCAGGAGGACTCTTGATTGATTAAACGATATTCAGAAGAAAAAGTGGAGGAATCGTTGACACTCTTTGAAACTTTGACGAGTTAGATTCAACTCGAGTACGAACACTCTAAAACATCCCTTTCTTCAAGAGGGTGTTTGTCTAGAATTCCTTCTGACTTCGAACTTTGTCGAAAGAACCTCATACCCTTCGATGTACAAGTTCAACCCTTAAAAAACCACTCCCATTTCCTTTCGTGGTGTAAAAGACAATTTCTCGCCACTTTTGCTTAAAATTCAGCACAAAAGGCCCTTCTTGAACACTGAAAACAAATCCCATACTCGAAATTTACAAAGACGTCAAGTATCCGCTGTTACACGATATCAAATCTTTTCTTTCCGACAAATCCTGAATTCTCGTTGATAAAGTGAGCTTTCATTACCCAGATAATTGTTACGAGAGTTTGCCGGACCGTTCCTCCGTTTTAAGTGGCGATCAAAAACTTACGTCACTGTAAAACCGAACGTTACGGATCACGAATAACCGACACGTTGAAACTGCCTCCGCGATAAAACTCTGGATCGGGTCAAACGGGACCCTAGCAGTCGTTAGGGGATGGTTGAGTACGACTTCCGACTCAGTCGCGGCGATTCGAAATTCTCTCCTAGTCGAGATACCGCCCTGTTATCTGTCCCTTTATGGCGCGCCGCGTCGCGAGACGAGGTCGCTATCTGCGACCATAATTCCCCATTAAACGTCGGGGCTGATGCGTGCACCGCTAGATTCTGTTCCTTCGTCTTCTTCTGCCTCTCCATCCTCCCTCTGCCGCGAAGTGCCCTTTGTTCCTCCTCCTTTTTCACCCGGCGGCTATTTATGACGCGCCGTGGAAAACATTTCCCGTATATCACGGAACAAACTTACATGAACTCGTCCTGAGGGAAGAGAAGGCTCGAGCGTAACCTTGTACGTGTGTATAAGCACGCTGACGCACCCGTGTACGTATCAACCGGGAAAGAAGCCCGTAGGATCACACCGGGAGGATGTATTTCCTCCGCCGTTTCCTTCTTGCGCCCTTTGTTAAATCTGCAGCGGCATTGTCGCTATCAATTTCCCGAACAATGTAATCCAATACCGTTTCTCGGTGTTTCCGTTATTTTCCTGCTACGCTTCGCGCTCCTCCGACAGTTCCGCGAGGGATGATCGCTCTGGCACGCGCGCGTTACGGAGGATTTCATACCGTAATTTACAACGGCCGGTTTTCAATCCTCCGTTTCGTCGAGGACGACGCTAAAAAAACACCCCGTTCACGACTTTTCCACAGTATCTTCGTTCACGGGGAATTAGAATTTTACATGGAAGTCTTTATACTTATATCGAGATGAGACAGGAAACGTAACGTAAAATAATACGTGAAGTATCTCGTTCGATTAGAAATCTTTCGAAGAAATATTTCTCGTCGCCTTCCGAAAAATGGAGAGAAAGGACGATCGATTGTTTCCAACGTTCCGAGCATGAGACGGCGTTTAAGCGTTCTCAGCCAGCAGATTCGTCCCGTCTCCGTTTCGTGGGCTCGTTGAATATATATCGCGTGCGTCGCGCGGAAAAAAGTTGGAGGAACTCATCTCGATGGTGGGAGCCTCTTCCCGGGCGAGATATTAAAGGGGGAGGTCCTCCAGCCTCGGAGCCGTTGTCCAAAATTTCGCGAAAGTTCTCTCTCGAGCCGCGAAGAAATCTGCACGGGACGGGGGGAGCCGGGAAGATTTCTTCATTATTTCGCGCGTCGTGAATCCCCGGGATCTTTTGTGGAGGACGCTCCGAGCGTATTGTCGTTAGAGGATTTATGCGATCCTTTCGTTTTTCTGTTTACAGAGACACGGAGCTCCATGCCGCCGATGATAAACGAGAAGGTGGTTTATATGTCGGCGCGCTTGAAAGACACCATTGTGATACCATGCGTCGCCTATGGAAATCCCACACCTGCCAACAGGTAAGAACGTTCACGTGATCCCGCGACGCAATAATAATTCCTGGACGTTTCTGTGAAAATTTCGCTGTCAGAGTTCGCGGAACTTTTATCGATACCGTCGATATTCTCCGGGAAAACATCTTCCAACACTTTACGATGGTTGAACACGTTCGAACGTGGACGTTCTACGCGTGCACGTGACTTCGTTGTTTGTTCAGATTCGAATCTTACAACATTTCTATCATCAAAATGCGCCTTTCACGTGTAATTTCAATATAGAAAGCTGTCCCGAGAACTGATGTGCATTTCCTCGTAACGAACCACGGTTGAGGGAAATTATTATAATCGTATAAAGTACGAGAGTTCGTTTTTCTTTCGGGGACGCTGGTTCAAACGCATTATTCCGTGTTCCGTAAAGCAACAAACGAGAGAAAGAGTTCTCCATAACCCCTGTCGCTCCGTAATTGGTGACTTTGGCAAAACGGTCCTCGAGCACGGTTCGCTTACTTACCAAAACAGTTTTCCGATACAACGGGGCCGATGCATTGGCAAAGTTTAATTGGCTCGGTCGCGGGAACGGGATCGCGGGCTTCCTTGCTCGTGAAAAATATTTTGATCGCCCAGCACCGGGGGAAAAACTTCTGGCCGACTTGTCGACAACGATGGCAGAGGGTCGCCCTCTCGACTACTCGTTTAAACCTTCCAGTACGGTTGCCTGGCCGCGTCACATTCGCAATAATTTCAAACGCCGGTTACTAATAAATTCCTACCGACGCTAACGCTGTTTATTTGCCATAATTTACCATTTACGTGCTCGTTATTTTATTCGTATCGAACGTTCGTCAATTGTATAAATGCAACTGTCAACGAATTTACAATTTTTAACAGATATAAAACTTTGAATTTTCACTGAAAGGTTGTCACGACAGTTTTTAAATGCATTGAAATTTTGACAACCGCGTTTATTATGGCGGTGATTCGACTTTCGGTGGCGTTCTCGCTTCCATCCTTTTCCCAGCAGTCTCTTATTTAGCCCGGAGGCCCACGTAAACGTTCCGGTATGGAATTAAACGTTAAGCAGCCATTTACTGTACGCCGTGGCCGAGCTAGCTCCGTGTAATCCGTTGTTGAAGTAGTAGGCAACGCCTGTAAATTAAAGGCTGCTCTTCGGATTAATAAGACATCCAGTTGCGTCCTGGAATTATCGTCGTATCTCCGGCACCCGCCAGCTTCCGTCCGGTGCCGCTAAATCATTGATGGTAATCCGCGCCGACAACCGAACGACGGAATATAACGAGTGCGTTTATCGGAAAAGTTTCAATCTTTCGCGACTCCCGCGACCATCGACGTCTGTTTTAAAATATGGATCACCGCCGCGAAAACGGTGTTATCTCGACCTTATGCTCCCCCCCGGGTGGCTTTTCTACCCATTTAACCCCAAGCAACCGGCGAATTATCAATTTTCCTACCTGCCGTCTACCGCCATTGGCAAAACGACGGAAGCAAATAAATTTGCAACGATTTGTTTGAAAGCAAAGTGACAACTTGAATTGGTCGCTTTAGTCTATGGAACGTTTCCTTTTCTCCTTTATAACTTCAACATTCCGACAGAGAAGCGAATCATGCAAAGAATGTAAATATGCTTCTTGAATATTCATCCGTGCTGCCTTTAGAACATTAATAATGGCGGAGCAATTTTCATATTGTCTTTCAGCGCCGTAAATTTGTCTCGAAAGCGATCTGCATGCATTGACAATGGTTTTACAGAGGAACCATAAACAGGGAGGAACACTAACCTGCCCTTCGTTGAACCACTTTTATGCAATATGAAATAGATTTCTTTGATATCGCGAGCGTCGTTTATATTATATAATTTTGGTAAATTTTGTATTCCGGAAGTCTGTTTCGTTCGGGCAGAATCTAACGCGCCCCACGAACGATAAGAATGACAGAAGGAAACGAGATTTTCGCGCAAAGTCTTGGCGTTTGGATAATATGCGTTCCCCAGCGAGCAGCTAGAGTTTCTCTGTTAATGCTAATTTCAAACATAGTTCTGGCTACGGTATTTCGCATGGCGAGGTATTTCCGCGCAGAGACTGCGGAATACGCGGAGTTCATCGATGCGTGGCAGTGCCTTACACCGAGAAAAGAAGGAAAGGACGGGAAGAGGTGACTCCGTCTTTGATGGCTGAATTTCTCCGGCTACAGAGCGTTTCTTTTTCCCAGTCACGACAGAAACGACGCGTCTCGCGAAATCGAGAGCGCACGTCGAGCTTCCATCGAACATCCCCTCGTTTATGCCATCGACATTAACGTATATCGAAAACAATCGCCAACATCTTTGTATTTTTATATTCGATTCTTTGATCTTTGAAAATGCACAAGTGTGGAATACTCGAAGGAAACAGAATCATTCTAGGATCAAGTAGAAACTAGTCTAACTAAAAGGAAAATTTCTATATAAAAATTAACTCATTGTCAGTGATTTCGAAGCGTTTAATTAGAGGTAAATTTGTTCCAGATTCTTGACGATAAAGTTTGTTTCGCGAAATAATTTTTAACGAATTCGCATCAGATAACCGCGACGTCGGAAATAAAGTACACGGCATTACGGTCGCAATAAACTTGATCGTATAAAGGTAGCGTATTAGAATTTTAATGTACTTATTATTCGATTGCGCGCTCGAAGGGATAACGAAAGGAACGAATCTGAGCGATTCCTCGTCCCCGGAGTGGGCCGTACACTCGTAACGGAACGATAACAAGGTTATTAAACGACGAGCGAACCTACTTTATCTTTCTGTCTCGCGGCGACTCCGAAACGAGAAACGGAAAAGGCTTCTACGGGTTCAGTTAAGCGTGCAGAACAAGATTATCATATCGGATCGCCTGGGATAAGAACTGCTTTATTTTCGTGTTCAACGAAACGGAAGGACGTTCGTGGATCATAAGCCATCGAGCTTTGAATCCGCCCGAGTTCCGCTCGGAAACCTAATTACGCGATTGTCGCGTCGATGCACGAGTCCGGTTGTCTTGATCTAATTAATGTGGCTGTCTCGAACGAACGGAACCATTCCTGACACATCGGTTTCAATCTTGTTTCGATTTTAGCATCGGACAATATACAGGGTGTTCGGCCACCCCTGGAAAAAATTTTATTGAGAGATTCTAGAGGCCAAAATGAGACGAAAATTGAGAATACTAAATTGGGGGTATGTCTATTCACTAAAAATGATTGTAATTGATCACCGAATTGAAATTTTTAATAATTTTTTAACGAAGCTTCAATCAAGAAATTGATTCCCATTATCCCACATCCGACTCCCATTAAAATTTTTCCTAGGGATGGTCGAACACCCTGTATAACAATTTATGGGGTTGAGATTAGGACCAGCCCCTCCTAAGTATTCTGCAGGTTTAATCACTGTTGTACCGTTTCGTAGGCGATCATTGCAAAGGAACGTTTGACGTTCTAATCGTCGTTTCTTTTTTGCGCGAAATTCCGGAAGCACGGCGCGAAAACTAACGGTGACAATGGCCCGTTGATCGTTTCCAGCGCATCTGGCCGCCGAAAATCCCAGCTTACGACTAGTCGGGCGATAAAGTAATTAGCTGGGCGCGAGGCTTCTCGCGACCCTTGACTGTTAATTCGGCCCGCAACGAGCTTACGTCGGATCGCAATTCGTCTCGCCGTTAAAACCGCTCCACGACGTTAACGACCATCGCTGGGCCGCGTTCGCGGCAGTTATCGGCCCGTCGGGCGGGTATCAAAATTTTAACGACGCTCGACGCGCACCGCGGATAATTCGATACGCGCGCGTTCCGCTTTATTAACAATTCCCTGTCGCCGATGTTTGACAGCTGTAATTAATTTCGTTCGTTCTGTGTCTAAGCAACGACGATCGAACCCTATCGTCGCTTCCGCCAGCGTCAAAGGAAAGAGATCCGTTTGTATTGGATTCTTGGATCACAGAAATAATTTCCTACGACTGTGTCTGTGATTACAAAATTTACGTCCGTCTCTACGTTCGCGGTTCATTTTAAATCTACTGACTAAATTTTTCAACTACTAGCCTTCCTAATACTCTACGAAAATATTGCAAACATCATTCGGTTCTTAAGAGCGTCGAAAATTATCGAATCTGAGAGCACAATCGCGTCTCTGATAAACTCTATAATTCGTTCCGGGTACGGAGCTTCGAAATTAAAGAGTCGGAATAATTAATCGGCGTTTCGTTCGAGTTTCGCCGGTGGGCTCGTGGGCAAGGTCTGACCCAGTAAACTTTGCCTTTGACGCAACTATGGTTCGACGCACTTTGCTCTTAGAGTGTTCGAGTGAAACTTTTCGCGACGAGCTAACGTTCATGTTAGCGATCGTACGTCGAACGATTCAATTTTAATTCGCGTATCCCGGTTTCCAGAAATTCCGTACACTTTTCCCAGGACGAATTTATCTTTCTTCCGTCTAACGTTTCCGTTCTTCATCGGGCTGACAAAATATATACGGTATTAAATAAATACCAATAACGAAATCGCGAATCTCGAGAATCGAAGGCTTGCTGGAATGAAAAAAGGTCCCAAGAAAGTGGACGGATTTCCGATCGCGAGGCGTCCAGGTGGGAGAAGGGCCTAAGAGTGGTAGGTTTGGCCTAATAGACACGCGGTGCGCGTTTGTGCATTCGCGATGACGTCGTGCTCAGGACGGAACGAAGACAGCCTGAGCGTAGACGCGAGGAGTGTATGGGTAGCGCAAACAAACCGACCGCTGATTACAGAGACTGCTTCTGACAGCCCATCAAATATTCCGCATTTACGTGTACGTCGACGTCACTGAGTATATTCCGTGACTGCGTTCCCCGTCTCCCTCTGCCACGGTTCGTGGCTGAGGGTGTCTCTGTCGTGCAGTCTCTCGCCTCTCCTCTGCCTCTTCCGTGGCTTGACTGAGTTGACGGAGCAAAGAGGAGGGACCGGAGGCGTCCGCGCGACGGAGAAAGACCGCAAACCCGTGGGATAAGCTAGAAAGGGAGATAAGGACGAGAGGAGAGAAAAGGGAGAGAGTCTGAGGGTTTGCCAGCGTGGCAGAGCTTCCATCTCTGGGTACGCTCTTCCGTCCCTATCCCATCTACTTCCCTCGCCAATTTCCCTCCATAAATTCGATTATCTATAGGTATACGCCTCGTCGTCGTCCGTTTCACACCCCTCGTCCCGCTTCACCACGCGCGTCCTGCGACTCTTCAACCTCATCGGCGTCGTCCTTCTGCACCTCCCCAACCTTATCCCGTTGCTCTCGCGAGCCGACTAAGCCGAATCCGGAGAGAGACCGTGACGTCTCTTTTCGAAACTACCCAGGTCAATCACCCGCCGGATAGACCAAGAACGCCGCAGAACCGTGGCCCGAGTATCATTTTTCGACAAAGTTACAACGGGGGGTGGGTCCTCCCGGGGGAGGTCACTTTAGCCCCGAGATTGCTGGATGGAAAATATTCGACGCCGGAGACCAGGGCCCCTCGAGAGAGAGAGAGAGATTGCGGCCTAGATTTTCCGAGGGAGACGGGCAAGTTTTCGGCTCACGAACCTGTTCTCGGGACAGGGTGGATCCACCCTCGATTTTGCGCGGTCACGTTTACCTCTCGACCGGCCCACGGAAGCCAACCCGTCGCCGACAAGATCCTCCACCACCTTTTCAGCGGCCTCGATCGTGCATTGTGCCGCGCGGTGAAAAGAAACCTACCTGGGATAATATTTAACCCCTTCGGGCACCGGGGACGATGCGTTACCCCGTTCACGCGTTTCAAACATGTTTATTTGTTTATTTACCACCGGGTACCATTCTTATACAAGTTCCAACGAGGTTAATTTTCAATGGAAATCGAAATTGTTTCAACCCTTTACGAGGAAAAATTCTCTACCTCGGTTGAAGATCACCGTTCCAACATTTTTTACCGGTCAGCGGGGCTCCTGTACTTTGCATTTCCCATGAATTTTCCACGCATCAAGGGGTTAACGGCGACTGGACGAATCGACCGCTTACGGGAACAAAATCAACATGGGAGCACGGCTGAAAGTTTTATTTCGCGACCCTCGACCTCACTTTCGGTAAATATTGGTGCCGCTCGAACGTTTCGACGCAACGTAAATGTTTTCGTTCACCGTCGGACGTAGCACTGCCTGAGAAGCTGTCGCAGCATCGGGATTGAGTTGTGACAGCCTCTCAGACGCGTGTTCGAAATTTGATCCCTTTCGCGACTTTGAACGATGAATGTAAGATGGCGATCCTTGAAACCAAAATCACCGAAAGAATTTACTTTAAATTAAGTCTCTCTAAACGTAGGTGGAAAGATTTAGTTCGAAATTTTGCGGCAAAAAACGGGTAAAAATCGAGGAAACCGGTTCAATTTTGTGCATTTAAACAAACATGCGACGAACGATCAAAGACAGGCGCGGGTGTCACTGCGAGAGGCTCGAAAACGATCCTGTTAATCGACGAACGACGAGTATCGCGGGGAGGCTGGAAACCACGAGACCGAATTGGCTCAGTTTCTGCGGGGTGGTTCGGCCCGACGAGGTCAAAGGTCGCACGTGCCCGTGAGAGATCGATTCGATTATCCCCGTCTACCGAGACGCTTTAAATCCGGCGGTCGAACAGTTTCAGTGACGAGACGGGAATTTCTGCGGCCATCGCGTACCGCCCATCGTTGCGATCTTAAATAGATCCATCGTGCCAGAGAAAGAAAAAGCTTTCAAGTTTCATTTCCAACAAATTACATTCGTAACTGCAAATTTATTTTATCAATTATAAAATGTATGATATCACGCTTAATCGGGTGATTATAGAAACTGGTGCAAACTATAGCTAAATTAAGCTTTCCTAAAGGAAGACACTAAAGACTCCAACGCGGGGTTGTCTTTCAATGATGTAATTATTTTGTTTGGTACAATGATTCGCGTTTGGTTAATTCAGAGTAGCATTTAGTTTGTCGCGTAGCTCGGTATCGACGAGGAAACCAGCGTCGAGCGTACGAATGGCGGCTGGGCGAGCTCGACGCGCGAATTATTTCCGGCGAGCGAGCGCGCGCGATCCGATCTCGCTCCTTATTTAAAGATTCGCCGGGTATTAACGATTTTCGTCTGTATCCAGTGCGCGCCACAGGCGCGGTTTATCCGGCTGCTTGTTCAAGCGGGAGTGTTTTGAAAGCGTGCCAGTACATCCAGCGCTGCATGCGCGCGGACTGTGGAGGCTCGAGCACAAAAAAAAAAAAAAAAAAAAGAAAGATAGACGGAGAGGACGGGCGGGGTGAACGGAACGTATGGGTAGCGTAGCACAATTCACGGCCGTGCTGTGTATTCGGTCTTCCCAATGAAACAGTTGTTATTTTGTGGTTGGCGAGTGCACTAGAGAGATACACCACCGGTGGAATGGAAAGGCTCGCTCGGATAGCAAAGCAGCAATATCGCCCTCTGTCCGACGGCTGCGCCGCGCGTCTATTTTTGCCCCGCCAGCGGTGAATCTTGAGCAACGATCGGACGTAATATAACACCGTGTTTCGCGGGACGAGCAGTGATGCGGACCCAGGATTTATCGGACACACGGCAGCCAGTCGAGCAACAGCACGCTCTCCATCCCAGTAGTATGTCCCCGTTACGAGTCGGACGTCGGCCAACAAGACACCTAGCTGCTCCCAAACGGACGACCGACCGCGAACATTTTAATAATTTAATATTACATAATTCACCACCCTTTAAGATATTTACACCCGCAGGGCTCCTTGAGTGGATTGTTCTTTACCTACGAAAGTTATTAGAATTTTATGCGAGCTCAACCTGTTCCTTGTAGCACGCTTTCTTTCCCAGTAGTACGACCCAGCCACTAGTCAGACGTCAAGCAAGAAGATAACCTTAGATTTGTGGTAATATATTTTTGAAACGTTATATTTAAAATTATTCACACTCTTGCGAAATGTAAGGAATGGTTCGACTGTTAACTTTGCTGATTTTTATTTTAAAATGCTCTCAGTGCACTGATTATAATTTCTCGTCTCAATGAAATTTGAGTGATCGTGTTAAAATTAAAATTCCATAACTCGAGTGGCCATGAGCAAGGTTTTGCTTGGTGGCGGCCTAACATAAGATCCGTGGCAACGTTCGCAACAATTTACGTCCGCCCATCGTGTATCGACGGGATCTAAAATAGCATTTCCGATCGTTCCACCGCGTCGCAACGCCGGTCCCTTTACGGGCCGAGGCTCGCTGATCGCTTTTGTGATTTTTTACTCCCGCAATTTCGTTACGGAACGAGAGTGTAGATTACGAATTTCCCCGATCTACGACCAGAGGAAATTCCGCGATCGGGAACAGCTTGGAAAATGTTACAAATAATGCATTCGTGAAATTATTATTAGTCTGTGTATTATCGTCGCGTCAACAAATGTGACAGATTCATCTCTGTTCGTTCGATATTCCTGATCTATATTTACAGAATTAAATTCTACTTAGAAAACTTATTTCCATCCGTTCCAATAACGTAAAACTATAATCTTGGTTGCACGCTTAAATCGTATTAATGGACCATGAATTTTTTGTCTACTTCAGATGGTATTACAATAGAAATCAGAGGGAGGAGCCGATCGAGGACACGTCGGGTCATTACATGGTGCGAGACGGTTCGTTGATCGTTCAAGGCGTTCAGGAGAGCGACGCTGGGTCGTACATGTGCACCGCCAGTAATTCCGAGGGCAGCGAATCCATGGAAGTGAGGCTAACGGTATCTGCGCCATTGAGCGTGCACGTTCAACCCTCGATTCAGACCGTCGATCTTGGAAAAGCCGCTCACTTGGTAATTGACGATTCTTATGGTTGGCCACGATCGAGGGTTAGGCTTTATGACTGCAATCGATGCTGGGACCCATTCGCGTACGTTACCTTTTCCGTCGACGTAACCGATTGTTCGGTACCATTATTCCGCCAGTTACCCTAAAGTCGATAGCACTATTCGGTTCCTCGACCCCTTACGGAATATTATCTTTAAATAGACATCGTTAAACATAGCATCGTACAAACGTATTCGTAAAAAGTTTGAACAGGCTATTCCTGTGTCCCTGTCATTTTTAATTATTATCGGGGAATATATATTTCGAACGAACCGATGAAAGTAGCGTATGACACTTTTCTATAATAGACGACCTCGTTTCAAAATAAAGAACATCACATTCCCATCAAAGTGGAAACAAGACTATCGAATTGTTTCTAATCAATTAATCTACAAAATAGTTCGATTAATAAGTTCTCTCTCGAACCCTGAAACGTTTCTTTTAACATTACTATAGAGCACCGGTCGAGTTTCGAATTGGCAACGATCCAACAGATTTTCCGAAGTCGCGATAGTAATTTAGAAAAAATAGCGTGAAAGTTGAACTCCCGTATAATTAGGAAAATGTTCGCGCGAAGCGGGTGGAAATTGGTCGGAACAACAGCGGCACCGCTTTAATGGAAAAGGTTCGGTCCGGGAACGTCTAAATTCTCGACTTCCACGATGAAAATCCATCCGACGGTGAATTCTTTGTTCATTTCCGAGCCACTTGGCGCGGAGGGCGCGTTCCCGGGGTAATCCGATTTTTACGAGGACAGGGAAAAAGGCGGAAGCGTTTCGAGCCGTCCGAGCGTCTTCCAGGTTTTGCCGTGGCGCGTTGGGCGTCGTTGCATCGTCCCGGAACGGGCAATCTTGTTTTTGAGGGAAGCGCGGAAGATTCGAGGGCATTCTGTTCGCACACGGGAAACTTTGCCCGGTTCTCATCAGTCCCTTTTCTCTAAACTGCTTTTCAGACGTGCAGCGCCAGTGGATTTCCGCAGGCGGCGCTTTACTGGTTGAAGGACGGTCAGGCATTGAGAACGGACGCTCGCATAAGGGCGGTTACCAGGGAACGTATTTCCGTGATGTCGGTTGCACGGGAGGATCGCGGCATGTACCAGTGCTTTGTGAGGAACGAGTATGAAATGGCTCAAGGAATTGCGGAATTGCGGCTCGGTGGTGAGTCTTTGTTTGCTTACCGTTTACGTCCCTCTGTGCGCCCGTATTGGGAGAGAGAAATGAAATGTGGAAAAATGGACCCATCGATGGAATACCGTTTCCATCCTTAACCACCGCGAAACGGAATCGCTCCACGATCGTCCACCAACCACGTCCTTTGCTTTCTCCTTCTATCCTTCCAACGAGTTTGGACTTCATTATAATTCGCTATATTTTAATAATTCTTTCGTTACTGCTTGTAACTGCAAACATCGAATTCAGTTTAGGAACTCTGCGAAACGAAATATGATCCATACTATACGGTAACGTTTAGAAAGAGAGTGAAGATACCTTTTAGAGTGAAATATTTTCTGTCGTCTGTATTGAAAACTGCAATTTCGGAAAGCTCCAAAGTTTCGTACAAAATTTTTCGCGTAGGTTTGCCAACATTGTTAATTTCTTTGACATTTATCGAATAAAGATAATTTGCAAGAGGGAATAAATCTCGTTGGTGACTCGAAACGGCGAGAGAGCTTAAACTCGACTGCTAGCCACACGCTGGCGCGCGGTATAAAAAACGGTTGAGCGGAGCAACAAACGTCGAATGAAATTTCGACGGTTTCGGGCGAACGGGATGAATGAGGACGGGTGCAACCAGATGTAGGATGATTACTTGTATAAAAGTAGAGCGAAAATGTGGAGCAACATTTTTCCATACGGGGCTCCGTTTTCGAGGAATTCGATTTTGAAAGCTCGTCGACCACGATTGAATACGACGTCCGATCGGTATGCGACACTACTACTTGTTTCTTATAAATATACGATATTTCTACTTATTTTATACGTTGCATGCAACAATGTAGCGTGTGTTTTAACGCGTTTAAGTATAGAATGGTCAACGGGAAGCGGATAACAACCGGAATGAATATATTACGATCAGTAAGTAGAAAAGCCCGATAATGGCCAGACGTCTCGTCCGAGTTGGGTTATGAAGTTTAATCAGATAAATTTAGTGGTAGCTGTCCTCCTTCTCCTAGTTCATACTACTTAATCGCAACACGAATTCAGGGTTCGAAACGTAAAGATAAAATTGTGACGACCTTGAAGTTTCCGGGATCGAAGCAATCGACAGAGAAATGTATCACGATCGTCTCGAGTCGCGTTCGAAAAATAATTTCGGTCGCGGGAAATCCAGGCTTCGACGTTGGAGGGTTTTAGGGTACTCTGGGGTCGCTGTCTAATGACATCGCCGTCGCAGCCACAAGGTTTCAATTACGTCTAGCTACCTCGTCTTCCCGGTTGAGCTTGCAGCTCGTTAAATACGCGCGGCGAATTTCGCCGGCGCGCGTCACGGATCGGATTTGATCAACGAAGGGAAAAGGAATCGGAAAATCCGCGAGGCCCGGTAACGGTCTCGTTTCCTCTTTCCGCGTTCCGATTTTTCCCCCGGTTTCAGGTCCTACCGTCGTTCGTTCGGCTCTCGAGGCTCCTTGGCCGATGATGGAAACGCGGTCGCGGCGCTGTTTGGAAGACAGACTCGTGGGTGGAGGCGGAAACGGCGGGGGGGTTGGGACGGGGCTTGTTTGTCGAGCGAATGGTTCCGCGGTGATAGGTTGCCGGTGGTTAATGCAGTGGAACTCTTCCCCATACGATCCATTCCCGGTTTGCGTGCCACTCCATCGTAACGCGTTTTCCATCACGGCCGCCGCGGCGTTCTCCTCTGGGGAAAGTATGTGCCGTTTTCGCGCGAAAATGGCCGCATCGGTTTTCCCGATCGTGCCATCGGCCGCGAGAGGATCGCTGTTTGCTGGCCCGTTAATCGCGACCGCTCCGATCCACCGAATGCTTTTAATTAGGGACCGCCACCCACGTTGATCGCCAGCTTTTAACCGTCGATTTTTAAAAGTCCGGGTGAATCTCGATTCGATCGCTTTAAAGCAATTTTTTGCCACCGTTCGTTATAACGTTAATAGCTGGGGGACGCTCCCTGGGGAACGATTTAATTCTACTTTTTTAAGGGACGCGATCGTCTCTGATTGGTTGGAGAACAGGGGAGGTTCGAGAGAGTTCAATTTATACTATATTAGGTATATTCCTCGATAGCCGATGATGTAATAATTTTTAATCGGAGAGTGGTGACTATTAGAGACAATTTAGTTTGCGTTCAATGGATTATATTATATTATTCAGGTTATAATATTGGCGGCGATGCTCCATATGGCGAGATATAATTAAATATTTGATATAAATGTGATAATTTTTGCATGTTTGCGCAAGAGTCGGGGTCGGGAACATTTTCGTTTATATGGCAACGTTAATAGCTGCGGCTTTTTAGGGCGAGAATTAATTTAATCTTCAAAATCGATGGGATAATTTTCGCTCGGCGTGAAAATAAAGTCGGTCAGAAGTACCTTTATTCGATAATTTAGTATTCGTATCACAAGATTAGTAGCTTGTACTTTCTACAGCGTAATTGAATCAAGTCTTAAAAAATTGATAATTTTTGCTCGAGTAACAGGGCAGAAATATTTAATATTAACGCGAATGATTGATGGTCCCCGGGGCGCGATTTATGTCTACTTGCGGAATCGACGTAATCATATTTGGTCGATTGGAATATAGTGGAGGTCGTGATCATTTAATTTCACGTTACATCATTCACATTGTAATTTTATCCTTGAAACAAAAGTGGTTGCATATCATAGTACCGTTGTAAATCATTTTCTCTAAACGTCCCGTACTAATACAAGAGACATTTATTATTCTCGTGCTGAATCACCGTTCGAGATCACGCTGTGTACGAGTAAGCGAAAGAGAGATAACAACAATTAAGCTTAAAGTACCTTTCCCCGAGAAGCTACAGTCTACCTAATCCTCCGCACTGCACTCTGTTTTCACTACTATTGTTAACAACTTTGCACCAACTGCTATCGTCGCCCGGAATTTTCTTATTTTTCTTTCCCCCGGTGCGTCGCCGGTTCGCGGGATATTCCCCGAAATAATTCAGTGGCAGGATTCGCGTTTGGGAACATCGGTTCCTCGTCGTTGTACGAGCTTTGCTTCGCGCGCTTTGTTCTTAAATAAATGTTCTTAGGTGGTACGTGACTCAACTTGTCTTGGGAGAATCTACAAATGCAGCTGTTTGCGGCTCCCGTGAGAATACACTCTAAAGAGGAGTTTGTATTTGGGCACACATATTCGCCATCTACTAACTCCGCGATCCGGTTTAATTTATAGACCGACTACGGGTTATTAAATAGGAATAGCAAATCGTTGGTAGTTTCAATCGTTGCTTCCACTGATTGGATCGAAACGAAGTAACAAAGTTTCCCTGAAAAATAGCCCCCTAACCCGGTTTCTCTTCCGCGATAATCTTTGTAATAGAATTTCAACGAAACCTTTCCTTTGCTTTCTAAGCGCCAGCCGTATAATCCGTCATTTCCATGTAAAACGGGATGAAAAAATTCGGCACGTGGACGTTGCGTTCTCGTATTTGTTGGTTTTTCCTGTTCCACTTTCGCGGATCCACGTATCTGTTGCCAGTTGCGCGTCATATTTCAGTCGGGTAACCGGCTCCGATGCTTTTTCCATTAACCGGACATCACGGTACGCCGGTCGATGGTTTCGAGTTATGGCCCCGAAGATTTCAATTAAAACACTTTTACCGGGTCCAGATTGCCACGAGCTCTCCCGCGATCGCGTATCCCGGGCTCCGTTACAGAATAAAGGGTTCGCGGGACGATTTTGCGCACGAAAAACTCGTCCCCATCGTGCGTTTCGAAAGGGTATCGGTCGACGGTTCCTAAAATCGCGCGTTCCGAGCTCTGGCGGTGCGCTCCGTTCCCTCGTAACGTATTTTCCATCACGAAGTCGTTTCGCCCCGGGCCGGCCGCGCTATTTTTGCACGAAAATGGCCTCGTTTGCTCCGCGCCCCGTTTGCTCGTGCACGGGACCGCCGTTGCTCGGTAACGTCCCATCGAAAACCACCGCGATACGCGAATTTCCCGGGGAATATAATAAACCCGGTTCGCGTGGCACGCATTTCCACGGATCGGGCACCGGCCAGCCCAACGATGCGGACTTGGGGGTCCTGAAAGAGCCGAGAATGATACGATTACCGCCATCGAGATCCCTCCTACGATATACAGGCTGACGCAACGAAAGGAAACTGGATTTTTTCTATCGAAAGTTTGCATTTTTGCAACACTCGTATTTTGGTTCGTTGATTTAATATTTGACTACCCTGATTAAGTAAATATATTGAAGTTTAATTGAGACGAAGAAAGCTGTTGAATATGAAAAGAATGAATGTTTTACGATCGATAACGTGATCCGTATAAAAGTTTCAGGTAATACGCGTAGGACTACCGTAACCAATCGAATCGCGTTTTCATAAATACCTGAGTGGTCACAGCACAGCCATCCGTGGCTCGATGAAATTTTTATCCCGATCCCGTTATTCCTCGTCAGAAATTAAACCTTTCATTGACCACAGCTATTTTCGTTCGCGTTAGATTTTGAAATATTTCACGGAGCAGAGTTTTTCGTTTCGCAACACCCCAAGGTAGTTTCCTTTGGACTAATTTCTTTCAGCGTTCTATTTGTATTACCAAAGTTCATCAAAATCAACGTTCGATTTACAGTAGTTCCGCGGAGAGAAACTTCTCAGCTCTGCGAATCACTCGACTTTCAAGTAAATTGCAGACCCGATTTTATCATTGAAAATCACAGGCAACTCGGCGGGAAATTATTTAACTTTTCATTGGATTAATTAACGTTCGTCAGGATGTGTGTAGCTTGGCTACAGCCTTCTTTCAGAAATCGAACACGATTCGAGTTAGAGCTACTGTGCAGATAAAGTTTTAGTTTCGTCGATCAAGCGATTGTTCTAATTTTTATTTTAATCCCCACCACCCACCACCGCCACAAGGGTAGCTAATTATTCTCTCTTTTCTGACTCCTGAGAATCTCGCGAACGAGATAGTAATACTCTCTCGAGCGAATTTGTACGTTTCTGAAAG